GCTGGCTAATGGAGGACGCGGCCGATGGGCTCTTGAGCGCGGCGAAATCCGTCCGGTACGGGGGCTCGTCCTGCCGGATCGGCTCGGAAATGTGGAAGCCGCGCGCCCGGATCGACACCGAGTCTGAGGACGTGCCGGGCTTTTCATGGGAACGCGACGGGGCCAGGCCGCGGCGGGAGGAAGAGGAAGAGGAAGAGGACGAGGCGCCGGCGGGGGTGCGCTTCTTGCGCCGGCGGATACAGAGGAAGATGGTGACGAGCACGGCCGTGATGAGAAAGACGCCGCCGACGGTGCCCCCGATGATGGATATCGTCGTAGAGTCCATGCCGCCGCCGTGGTCGTCGTGGGCATCGCTGCTCGGCGCGGCCGTGGTGGTTGCCACTGCAGCTGGTGTGGTGGTGTGTGCCGAAGTGGACGCTGTCGTCGTTGTCGCGGAAGCCGATGACGAAGCCGATGTTGCCGTGGACGACGCTGGCGTCGCCGTGGAAGACGACGCCGACGACGATGGCGGTTTGCTGCTCGGCTCCTTGGACTGGTCGGTGTCGCGGGTGCAACCACTGCCGACGCAGGTGTAGCCAAAGGGGCAGCAGTTGGTGCCGCACTTGGGCAGGTCGATGTCGAAGATGGAGGTGAAGACGGGCCCGTCGGCGTGGCTCTGGGGGTCCTGCAGGCGCACGTTGCAGCTGATGGGCTGGATGCGGGAGCAGTCGCCGCCGGCCGGGCAGCACAGCGCCGACGTGTCGCCGGCGAGCGCCTCGCAGGACGTGTTCTTGGGACAGCAAAAGTCGGATGGCAGCGACGAGCCGCAGGTGACGGCGTCTTTGGGGCAGACGGCGGCCCGCGTGGTGAGGACGACGTCTCTGGGAAGGGCGTGGGCGGTGCTCGCGGCGAGCAGCAGCGCGAGCCCGGCGTGGCGTCTATGCATCGTTGTTCGAAGTATCTATGGCGAGGAGGTGGAAGCTGGTGGCGAGATTCTTTCGGTGATTCAGAAGTTGGGATATGTTGGAGAGATGGATTCGTTGTTTTTTATTCTTGGAAACGGGAAGGATAGATGGGCTTTGGCTGGTACGTTTGCGTTGCTGGGGGTTTTTTTTTGGCTGCGACCAGCCGTCAGGTTCGTTTGGGGGAGGGGGAAGAGGATAAGTCAGTGAATGTGTCGAGGACTTGGGGCGATGAAACGGCAAAGATGTGATGGGGGCGCGTAGCAGAATAGGCAACGGTTTGTGCTTGATCGAGGCAAAGAAGGTTTGTGTGTCTGGTTCACATGCACAGTGTAAGACAAAGGGAAAAAAGGCGAGAAGAGGGCGGGAGAAGAAAAGATGTGTGTGTGTGTGTGTGTACAAGCTGGGAAAAGAAGGGTAGGCAGAGGAGTAGAGGGAAGAGAATGAGAAGAGCCTACTACACATAGGAATCGAAGTGAGTGAAACGCTCGTGATTCCCTTTGCTGGACCGTGAATATTTCGTGGGAAGCGCCCAGAGGGTGGACGCGGGTCAGACGCGAGCAGGCATCGAACCATTGTACGGGCGATGAAAGCAGGAAAGTCTGCGGTATCCAGTCCCGGCGGCCCTATGGTCACGGTCCTACGATTCAGGATGAATTCTCCGGAGCCAAGCAAAAGGGACCAGCTAACGAGCTGAAATGGAGAACAAGTTGACGAGGGGGTTCTGGCAGTGCCGGTAGTGCGGCGCTGCACGTTGCAACAAGCGCGAGGTATAGATGAATCGAGAGGGTGAGAGCGCTCTGTTTTGGGGAAGCCCCGCTCTCCGCAGAATTATAGGGTTTTCTCTGGTAAGACCAAGGGAACCAAAAGTCTTGCATGTACCGAATGGATTGTTTGGGGGGCAGCAGATGTTCTCTTTTTGGCGCCCGAGGCGTGCTTGTCGCAGGTTTGACCAAGTTGGGTAAGCTGCCGTGCTGTGATTGGCTGAGAGGGCTTTGGTGTACATGGTACCAGTTACGTCATGGGGAACAAGGGTCACGAACGAGGCAGAATGGATGAAGAGCAAGAGGTTTTTTTTTTTTTCCAAGTAAAAAAGAGAGACGTCTCTAGAGGAGAGCAGAAAATAAATATAGCTTCACTTATTTAGTTAGTCCAAACGTTGCGCATTCTGTCTCGGCCATAGCCAGCTATGCACTTTGGCGCCCGCCAATTCGTTCCAGACACAGCTGAATGACCTGGGGCTGGGGTTTTTTTTTTGCTGCTTGCGGCCCGCTGTAACGTTTGACAGGTATCGCTAGCCGCCCAGACCGACGAGCATGTTGCATCATTTGCCAGTCGCCAAAGGGGAGAGGACAAAGGGGCGAGCATAAAAAGACGGGCAAGAGATGGGATGGCATGGGCTGAGTAGGCAGCAGGATGGAAAACGAAACGGGCGGCGCCGAGCATAGAGGCCTTGCGAGTATTTTTAGTTTTACATAACTAGGGTTCCTATCTCGGTCTACTTTACGGTGGGTGGTATGTCGACAAGCTGTTATGCGTTTGTTATAATTTATGCACAACAACATCAGCGCGGCCCCCAACGAAAGGGATGGACATTGCAACAAGCTCGCCTCTAGTGAACAGCTCGTACCACACACGCCCTCTCTCGTGACTTTTTTATAGCTCGGTTCCCGCCCGACCAGTGGCGTTTCCCCCCGCGTGTGATGCGTTCGTCCTATCCGAAACCAGTATGCCGAAGCTCAAGGGCTACGAGAACCCCGATTTCGCTTTCTCATCACGAGGACGCCCCCTCCCAGCGATAAAAGTCGGTCAAGAGAATCAGGGACGGAAACGGGGACGGCCACTCCAAGACTCTGCAGCACTCTACTAATCTATACAGTTAATATACATGTCGATATAATGACGCAACTGGGGAGGGTGGTGTCTCTATTTTCTTTGCCTTTGCCCGCTATTATTATATAGCCCTCCAACTTCTATATCGTCGGGTAGTTATCAACTGCCACACCCACCCCAAAACGGCATGCAATCCCGCACCGCTCATCGCCCTTTCCGTGCACTATGACTGCCCAGAAATATACCTCGTTTACCCATTCAGCCACGCCTGCTGCAGTGGCCAGAGACAAAACTGGCTCAATCAGGTCAAGAGGGGTGAGCGGTGGCCAGATCAGATGCGTGGCGGGCTCCGGTTGGGCATCAAGACGACGAATGGTTCCCCCGCCTGCATGGCTGGCCAAGAGGGGATGCCGCAGTCCATTCCATCCTCGGCGATTGTGTCTGTCAGCGTACAGTGCGAGAGAAGCAAGTCATTCATACACACCCTCACACCACCACACCGGTCAAGACATCCACAATCATCATGGGTTTGTCGCGAGAAACGATTTCGGCAAATGTGGTTGGAAGATTTTGTCTCTTGCTCCTTGCTATATACAGAAAAGAATAAGAAAAAAAATAACAAGAAAAAAATCTTCGACTGCTCCTGGCCAAGCTGATTTGCTTCGTCTGCTGCTCCGTCCGTCCGCATGGTATATGGAATCATAACGAGTGATGGTATAAAAAAAAAAGGGACATTTCCCACAAATAGCCACCCTGGCTCAAAATCATCCAAGGAAGAAAACGCCGTGAAATCAGCATACACCTCCAAAAAAAAAGAGAAGAAAAAAAAAAAAGTCGTTGCCAGCAACAATGGGCTGGTTTCTAATTCTGTCAATGGCCGTGTTTCGCACCGCCTCGCGGCGTCCCTCTATAACAAAAGTTGAAAAGCCGATCCAGCAGGTGTAAAAGGATGTAAGTGAAGGGAAGACTGAAAGGAAACAAGAATATGTAAAAAAAAAAGATGTAAATCACAATGCGTCTCACAAGGCCAGCTTTGCAAGACAAGAAAAGCCAAGCTCCTGTTCAAGAAACAAACAAGGATTTAGATGAGGAGGTAGTCCCATCCATTCATCTGCATCACGTCCCGCCAGTGGACAAACGGCGGGGGCACGCCGGGCGGGCTCGCCAGCGCGAGCTGGTCGTTTTGGCGCCAGAGCTCGCGCAGCAGGCCGACCATGCGGCCAAAGGAGCCGCAGCGGGCGAGCTCGCCGAGGGCGGCGACGCGGTCCTCGAACAGGACGCGGAACGCGCTGCCGGGCGCGCTGATGGAGCCGCCCATGAGGTAGACCCAGACGAGGCTGCGGTCGTAGCCGCGCGGGCCGGCGGGGATGCAGCGCAGCACGGCGGCGAGGCGGTCGCCGAGCGCGGCCGGCGAGTCCTGCGCCGGGCTGAAGCCGGGCACGAGGCTGCACAGGTAGATGCGGGCGGCGGTGCGGAACGCGGCCGTCATGTTGCGCGACAGCTGGCGGGGGGAGAGGCTGCCGCTGGCGGTGAATGGCAGCCGCGGTGCATCGCCGTCGCTATCACCCGCTTCGGTGAGCGACATTTGCTGCCCGAGCGTGTGGATGTGGTTGCAGAGCAGCAGGTCGTCCATGCCGCCCTTTTTGAGCGACTCGAGACAGGCAATCTCCGAGATGAGGTACATGACGCGGTCCTCGCAGCCCATGAGCTCGCGCAGCCCGAGCTGCGGCGTGGCCGACAGGTGCTTCTCGCGGTACGTGTGCGCAAACGTCGGCGACGTGCCGAGCATGGAGCCGCCGAGGATGTCGATCCACGCCGTGAGCGTCATGTTGAACGGCGTCTGCGCGAGCGGCGGCGGCGCTGCTCCTCCTCCTCCTCCTCCTCCTCCCCCCGCCGCCGCGACAGCAGCAGCAGTAGGGTCCGACACGAGCCGCGGCAGGTCCAGCTTCTGCACCAGGCTAATGGCCGCCTGGAAGTGCTGGTGCCACGCAATGTCGAGCAGCCCGTCGTCGGGCCGCCCCACGACGCACTGGAAGAAGATGAGCCCGAGCGTCGCCTCGAGGATCTGCTGGTGGTTCTCGTCGCGCTTGAGCGCCTCGCAGAGCGACCAGATGGTGGCGTACCGGTGGCGCATAATGTCGGCGTCGGGATCGCCCTCTTCGCCAGGCGCCGCCGTGGTGGTGATGCCGGCGGCCACGTTGAGCGTCTTGATGTGCTGCGCCGCCGTGCTCAGGCAGCAGTGCAGGTAGATGCTGTTGGTCTGCAGCGCTGGCAGGATCAGGTCCGACCCGACCGACCCGTGCTGGTTGGACTCGAGGATGGGGAAAATGGTCGGCAGCACGTGCTGCACAAAGTGCTCCAGCAGCCGCTGGTCATTCTCCTCGAGCTCGACCTGCACCTGCCGCGACTCCTGCGGCGGGCCGTGCGCAAAGTCAAAGAAGTTGACGTTGAGCGCCTCCTCGGACAGCGACTCGCGGCGTTCCTGATGCACGTGCTCGGTCCAGCCGCCGCCGCCGGTATCGTGGGAAAACGCAGCAGCGGGAAGCACGGTGCCGGGGGGCGGCGGCGTGTGCATGGTGCTAAAGGTCGAGACGTGCGACTCGCGCATCGTGGGCACGTCATTGACAAACATCTGGCGCTCCGTCTTGACGTCGACCTCGTAGGGCGCGTAGTTGCCGGCACCGGCGCCGTAGATGAAGTCGGGGTGTATCTGTGTGTTGTAGGCGACAAAGTCGGCGCCGCTGGGAGGGCTGTTGAAGTTGAAGCCGCCACCGCCGCTGCCAGACGCGCGCGAGTCAATCGAGGCAGACCGGTTGCGGTCGTAAAAGTCGGAGCCGGACACGGACGTGGGCATGGAGTGGCAGAGGCTGGGCGGCGGCGGCGGCGGGCTGACGGACGAGTGCAGATCGTGCGTGGCCGACTTCTCGGCGAGCTTCTTGCGCTTGATGATGATTTTGATGTCTTCCTTGTTGCGGCGGCGCGCGTCGTTGTTGCTCCACCAGATTGGTCGCTTGTACTCGCACTCGAGCCCGAGATGTTGGCAGGCGGAGCAAAAGGGCGTGACCTCGTCGCACTTTTTTCGTCGCAATCGGCAAGTATAGCATCCTGTATTCAATTGAGTTCGCGTGTTAGTCGGTGGCATTGAGTTGTGATTGCCCCCCTCCTCCCCGCGTGTAAGTCGCGGCCCACGTACCTGATCTTGAGCGGCGATGCATCTGTGTTTTCGTCTTGGAGATGCCGTCCGTGTCCGAGGTCTTCATGGCTGTTTTGCACTTTGCGGTCTTGGTCGAGGCCATCTTGACAGAACTGACGAGAGCATTGGCAGGTGTTCTGCGCATGCTGGGGGGCAGGGTAGACATTTGTATATGGCGAACCCGGGTGTGGGATATCCCAAGCTTCTGGTCCGGGGGAGGGGGGGCCTCTTTTTTTTTCTTCTGGCTAGCACAGCGCCTTGTACAAGGGCGACTCAATTACCAGGTCGCTGACTGACGAAGGGAAGCTAAAATGGCCTGGCTTCCGGGACGGGAGGAACAAGAGAAAGAGTCAAGGCCGGGGGGGGGGCGTGTGAGTGTAACTGGCCAGTGGAGAGAAGGGTGTGGCAGCAGGGTGCAGGGGGTATCGCGGTGGCACGGTGCCAGCACTGTGTGACGGCGTACGAGTGAGAGTGAGAGTGAGAGCAAGTATCAGTAGAGAGAGAGAGAGAGAGGGCTGTAGGACCCCAAGGCACAGCCTGTTTTTGAGTGAGTGAGTGAGTGGTGATGAGAGAGACGGCGGCGGCGGCGGGATGGTCGATGGTCCAGTCTGCTGAGTGGTTGAGAGCGGGAAATTACTCAAGTCTCTGGAGAAGCCGGCTGCGACAAGGGATTGGCTGGCGTTTTGATATCGACGGGCTGTCGTAGAGACGGTAGACCTGTGTTTGTCGTGCTTGATAATACAAGGTCAAGTCATGTGGATGATTGGTTGTCTTGTTTGATGAAGCCCGGAACAAAGAACGTTCGTCGTCGTTTTTTTTTTTTGGCGGGTGTGATTCGTGATTCGGAAATGAAAGCACAAGTAATAAAAAAGAAAGAGAATAAAATGGGGGGCGCGACCAAAGAAGGGATCGTTTCAAGAGCAAGACCAGCTTGTCTTTGTGTATTGTGGTGATGATAGGGCCGAAGATTCGGAAAAGGAAGGGGATTAATCGGGGTTAAATCAAAAAGGAGGAAACGGAAGGAAAAGCCAAGAAAGAAGAGATACACTTCTTCTTGGAGGAAAAAAAGAACAACTTGAAAAAAAAAGAACTTGAACACACTTTGCACACGGAAAAAAACAAAAGAGGGTTAAATTCAGAATCTGGGCGGCAAGGCCATTCGTCTTATACCATGGGCCGCTTTCGCATCGCGGCCAGGCGCCCGACGTGCAGTCTTGGTACGAGATGCGAATAGGTTGATGGAGTCTTTTTTTTCGTGCTTCTTGCTCTTCCCCTCTCTCGTTGGTGTGTTTCTATTTTTGAACACAGCCCTCTTTTTTTTTTGGCTGGGCTGATGGATGGCAGATGCAGAATGCAGAAGCGTCCCCCAACCGTGCGACCACATCCATGCATGAGCTCTGCGCTTAGAGCGACCAATCAATCGGCCAGGAGAGCATCACGACCCGCTGTGAATAAATAAACGAATAAATAAAAAAAATGGCAGGATTCTAGTGGAAGAGCAGGGATCTGGCTTGGGCAGCGAATCAGCAACCACAAGTGCCATGGGGCGGGGGAAAAGGAACAAGAAAAAAAGGCCTTGTTCCTTGTCTACCCGTTGTCCCTTGTTCCTTTGAGCCCTCCAATGTCTGGTCTGTCTGGTCTGTCCTCCTCTTCTCCCCCGCTCTCTCTCTTCTCGTCTTCTCTTGTCCGGCAGATCCAAAAAGGGCAAGCAGGGATAAGATGGCCCTCCGTCTCTTTTCGCACCACCCTTGTTGCGTCGTCTTCTTTCTTTTTTGACAAGGGAACCCGTCGTTGACCAGAAAATCTTCCGGCTAACCGAGATTACACCTTTGGGTCAGCTGTTGCTCGCTTCCCGACTTGACTGATGGCAAACTTGAACGGGCAATCGTCGCAGATTCTAGTTAGCTATGTAGCTAGCCCTACTTATCCCGAGCTGTTGACGGACATGGTTGCATGGGTACATACCTGCTAAGCTGTCTTGGCTGAACGGATAGTACTCGAAAGAGGATACCCCCCTCCATGTTCCTACTACAGAGTACTTTCACCTCTTACTATGACTCTGCTCCAATTAATCAATTCATAGTAGCGACGTTGATGTGCCACCTTGTCGACTTCCACGCCCACATCTGACCCGCTTCCCGCCCATGCAGCTACACCGGCAATGCAGCTTTGCATGTCCCGTCCGGTGACGGCATCACAGCGGTGCTCTCACTATTTTATATAATTCAATCATAAATGTAGCCTGGTTTCTGGTATTTCTTCTGGAGGCCATGCGAGCGATGCGCCGAGTATACCCGACGTGCCAGATGTGCGCTGGTCATACTGGGCGTGCCAAATGTGCGCTGGTACTGCGTGTATTGGCTTCATCCGAGTTTTGCTGAGGCCAGCGTCGCGCGCATGTGTTGGACCCTTTTTCAGCGCGCAACCGGTAACTACCAAATGGCAAGTCACACGCAACCAGAATTGCTTCCAAAAGGGCCGCCCGCGCTCATGGCCCAAGGTCACACAGAAGAGCGGTAAGCCCACGGGTTGACAAAGGCTGCTTGCTTCCCAGTCAAGTGGACTAGTTAGTTACCCAGGTACTCAATGGGCACAAAGCCGTATCCAGCTACTCAATTGCACACACACACACACACACACACACACACACACACACG